ATCAGGCATTGCACGACAGGTGGTAATTGGACTAAGAAAAGAAAGCTGTTAACTGTTTTCATTCATGCAACCTGGAGAGGAGGTGAAAAAGTCTGAAAATGATTCTTTCTGTCCTTGAAATTATCACATCCACCTTTTTTCATGGGTTTCTCAGAAATGTTCAAAGTCAGTTTTTAGTCTGTAATCCTTTAGTCATTTGGCTCAAATGGCATCAGCTGGGCAATTCTCAGTCCTTTGTTAATTTGGAGTCGTGAAAAGATAGTATGCATTTAAAGCACTTAAAATATTTGACCTAACAGACTTATTTGCAAGTCATGTAAATCACTTAAATCTAATTCAAACTTAACAGAATCTAACTTAACTTACTTAATAATACTTAACAAAAATTAATTTTCTTCAAATCCCACACAACTCAAACCTATATATAATTTAAACTTAGAAGACCTCGAACCCAACCGAAAACAAGCTCAACAAACTTAACCTTAACATTTAATGGCACTTAATTGATAACTTAACTTTAACTACTTAATAACAAATAAAACTTACTATAGAAATAATATATAACATTTACTATCACTCACTCACAGGCCTGACTCCAAAACACTCAACCAAAACAACTTTTCTCACGTTTTTTGCTGCAGCACTTATACCAAAAAACACACTCACAACATCTCACTCATACAATCAATCCAACACATCTCAACATTTTTAAACTTTTCAAAACACAGCTTTAAAGTCTAATGTTCCACCGGCCCAGCCATCCGGGCTTCTGATGTTTAAAGTCTCTGGTAATACAGATGTTTCCAAGACAGCATACCCAATGCCGAGCCAAATAGGCTGAAATTTGACTCCTGCCTTCATTTACGCTGATCTGCTTTACAGTCTGTGCTGGGGAGAACAAAAGATCTTTCTAACTTAGGTGAAAAACATCCTGACAGCAACAGTCCTTGGTGTCGCTTGTTTAGTTTCACTGGTCTTTTAATTGCAATAGGAATCTTTTCTTTTGTTGACAAAAGTCACAGTTATTACGGCTGTTAGATCTCAAACTGTAGCTCCTGCTGGCTACGGGGCGGAGGGAGAAGCGCTCCCGCTCGAAAAAGCACTCTGAAGTCGGAATCCGCTAAGGAGTGTGTGACAACTCACTTGCCGAATCAACTAGCCCTGAAAATGGATGGCGCTGGACGCTCATCAGAGCCCAGAAAAGATGTCGGTCGATCTAAACAGCAGGACGAAAACTATCAATGCACAGCATGATTGCTCCTCCATCACCTGCTCTCTGATGTCCAGTCACTGTTCCCAAGCAGCAACTGGCCGCCCGTGGACATCTGGCCCCCAGTTCACACATGAGGGCGATGCGGCTCCGGTCGCTCCCCCCGCGGCGCTCTTTGTTCACTTCCGGCGCGGCGCGGCTTGGTTTCTGCGGCGGCGGCGCGGCTGCTCCCGCGCAGTGGCTCCGCTCTCGGGGGCGGCGCGGCTCGGCTCCTGCGGCGGCGGCTTTTGATCTTCCCGCCGCTGCCTCCGGTGCGCCCATGCCAAGTTCGGAGTAGCACAGCACTGCAATTCTACCATAAATCGCCGAATTCACACATTTCCATTAATCCGTAAACCATATGGAAAATCCCTTTACCGTAACTATAAGTCCAAAGTCCTGTTGAATCCTTCTGCTAATTCATCTCTGCTTTGCGCTGCGGGTCACTCCCTTCGCGGCGGTTCAGCTTCGCCCGCGGTGGCTCCCTGTGGTGTCGGGTTGAAGGCTCCCTGTTGCGGAGGATTAGAGGCTCCCTGCTGCGGAGGGTTAGAGGCAGGAAAAGGTACCGATGATGCAGCGATGACTTCTGAAGGTGCTTGGCATTCCCGGCGCAAGTGGCCCGTGCCTTCCCATCGGCAGCATTTCGTGCGGCCCTCTTTATTTGATGCTGCAAAGGCAGCGGACGCTTGAAGAGGTGCAAAAGCGGCTAACACCTGACTCTGAGAGGACCTTGCCTGTTTTCGAAAACCTATTCCTATCTGCTTGAGTACATCCGCCACAAAAGCCTGCTGCCCGGTAGGAATAAGAGCCATCCTCTCTAATGCTTCCTCTACAGTCCAATCTGCACCTAAAGCATTAAGTATGTTTCTAGTAGCAGAATTACAATTTTGAAGGACACACTGCCTGAGTAGGACCCTGGGCAAATATTCTGGCATGCCTGCTCTTTCAATTGCAGCAGCAGCTTTATCAACAAAAACGCCAAATGACTCATCTCTGCCTTGCTTAATTCCTATAGACACTGGTATCCCTCCTGGTTCCTTTACCATATCTATCGCGAGTCTGACTAACCGCATTGCCTCCCGGCACTTTTCCGGACCTATTAAAGCTTGTGCATCAGTACGATGGAAAGGTCCCAGACCCATAAGCTCATTTATAGTGATACCATGCAAGGGGTCCCCCGGCTGCCTTAGAACTGCCACACATTCATTAGCTAAAGCTTGCCAGTGGGCGTTAAACAGCAATTGTTGATGTTGAGTAAAAATTAATTTACTATCCCACGACAATCATTAACAAGAAGGATACTGGTGTCAAAAATATAATCGAGCATTTGCTTAGCTGGTTCGCTTTTAAATCCAAACTGACTAACAGCAGCTTGCAATTGAGATAACAATTCCCAGTCAAGAGCACTAATTGCGGCTTGAATTCCTCCACCAGCCTGAGGGTTAAAGACAACCGGACAAACCAGCTCCGGAGCCGAACTTATTGGCTCTAGATCTCCCTTTTCAATTGCATCTTTGGCCAGGGCAGCCCACGTATCTCTTTCCCTTGCAATCGCCTCTGCCAAGTGGTTTTCCGACCCAGGGACCGGCTGATTGCTTGTCGGGAACGGAGTACACGTATTTGGCCCCAGCTGCTGAGACGCAGCAGGTACGGGAGAGTCAGAAGTGCTCTGTATAGCCTGCGGCAAAGCAGACAACAAGGCACCCCGCGGAGCTTGGCTCGTTAGGAGCGGCTGCGAAGCGGGTAATAAAGCAGTCTGCGTAGCCTGGTTTATAGGCTGGCTCGTAGCCGGGCTTGTAGCCTGGCCCATTAAGGGGGGCTGCTCGGCGGGCAGCGAGGCGGACTGCGCCTGGCTCATAGTGTGACTCATAGCCTGGCTCTCCAAGGGAGGCGGTGAAGCAGGTAATAAAACTGTCCGCGTCGCGGGGCCAAGAGGAGTTCCCGCGTTCTTATCAAATTCCCTATCTTGATCATAGTGTTTGTTACGATCGTGAGCAGCAGTGGCTTGATAAGCAGCCCTTTTTTCAGCTTGAATTTGCAAAAGCTCAGTGTTAATGACCCGCCATAATTTACCCCACTTTTTAGCAGTTTTATCATCATCTAACGTAGCCTGCCACAATAAATCACCAAATTTACGCCACTCAGACAATTCGTGAACTGTGTGAGGATTTATAAAGACCCCCCTTTCTAGGCCATAAGCTAAAAGACCCGGTAATTCTTTCTGTAAATATATTCCCTTAATTTGCCGTTTTTGCAAAAGGGTAATAAAAAGTTCATATGCAGCTTGCCTTTCCATACCTATGTGCGCACGTTGCAGCTCTTCAAATCAAGGTCGCGGCCGCATGTATCGGACGAGCCTATCTGTATAGTCGCTCGCAGCGCGGCACGGGCCGGTGGGTTACCCTCCGCTTTGTCTTCCGCGCTTCTTTGCCGTTCCGGCTGCAGTTTCGATCTTACGGAACCTGAACCTGGCTTCACTTCGCGTGGCGTTCGCTTCCCCGTGGTGTTCGCCATCACGGTCGGAGGTCACCATATATTGAAGTGAAGGGGAGAATCGACCATCCTGGTAATGCATCGAACTCCAACTTTATTGATCAATCCATCACCTTAAATAACAGTGCTAACGAACGCCGTGAATATTCTGTAATCCAATTTCATGATAGGCTAACAGAGAAACTTCTAACCACTCCTCTTGTTTTAGAATACCTACAATTGTTTATTAAAAACAGAAACCAAAACAGAAACCAGAAACCAAAACAGAAACCAGTGTTCCCAAAACTTCTACATCTGTTCTCAGGATGGCAGGCCTTCCCAGAGACGGTGTTCTGCTTGTTATGGGAAGACAATCTGAGAACTCCATTGTTTATAGAATGATGCCTGAGAGAGTCTAATTGTTTATACAAATCAGAAGGCTGAGAACTGTTAGAAACTGCTTTACTTTTCCCTTATACTTTTCTCTCAATTGTATGTCTCATGGCCTTTTCTTTAAGTCATTCCTCAAAAACTCTCCAACAATGACTGAGCCAGGAAACTGGGGGACCTGACCCAGGGGTGAGTGGGGCAGAGCCCCAGAGCATCCCAGGACAGCCCTGGGATGCCCCATGGTGGGGGCTGTGCTGGGCTCTGAGTCACCCCACAATCTGAGGAAGCCAGGGAAGCATCTGTGACCTCCGTGCCCACCCAGCCATTGCCCATCCCTGACATCCCCATTCCCCTGGGAACCCAACCATGGGACACCCATTGCCTTGGTCTCTCCTCCCTGGGGACCCCCATCTCAGGACTGCCAGTGCCCAGCACAACCATTCCCTTGATCCCATCCCATGGGCTGCTTCTTCCCCCAGAACCCCTATTCCCAAGGGTCCTCTTTTTCCCCCTGCACCCCTAACCCTGCCACCCACATGCCATGACCCCAAATCCCTGGGGACACTGTTCCCACAGCACCACCATCCCTGAATGCCCCCAGGCATGGAGACCTCAAATCCCCTGGACCCCCATTCTGCTGGACACCCATCCTTGGTTCCCCACATCCCCTGAGCCCCCTACTCCTGGCAACACCATCTCCCACCATGTCCCCAGGTTGTCCCCTACTGTATCTCCACCTTTCCTCCACCCTGCCCCAACCAAGGGCCATCTACACATGGGGACGAGATGTGACCTCGCTTCCTTCCCCTTCATCCGAAGAGCCACCACCCAGGGGAGCGGTGGCCACAGCAGCGAGTGACAGCCAGTGCACATGGCTAGGGACACCGGGATGGCCAGGAAGGTGGCGCTGATCCTGTGGGGTGAGTGCCCCGGGCATGGGCCTGAAACCCCGGGGATGGGGAGGGGAGGGGTCACAGGGGGGCTGCAGGGTCCCCTGAGGTCCCCAATGCCAGCAGTGCCAGTACATGTTACCCACAGTGCACCTGGGTGTGACTGGGGATGTAGGGTGGCTTTGGGGACAGGAACAGGGAGGCAGGAATTTGGGGATGGGGATGTGGGGACAGGAATGTGGGGACTGGCACCTTTGGGGTCAGGTAGCTCTGGGGATAGGGACAAGGGAACTGGGATGCAGGGACAGAAGGGGACAAGAATGGTGAGGATGTGGCCAAGGGGATGGGATCATGGGCATGGGATCATGAGCTGGTGGGGGTGACCTGGGCCAGCATAGGCTGTGTCCATGGTGTCCTCATGCCCAGAGTGTCCGCAGTGTCCCCATGTTCTGCCTCAGCCAAAGGTGGCCTCGGTGTCCCTGTTCCGAAGGTGTCTGTGACACAGGGATGTGGTGCATGGGTGGCTGTTACACATACATGTCCCCCTGCCTCTCCAAATCTTTTGGGGACCACTTACACATAATTTCTAACAAGAACTGCTATCCCCATGGGGACAGTTTGGGGACAGTCCTCATACCCCGTTCCCCCTGTGCCTCTGTCCATGTAGTGCCACCCTCAGCCATCCTTGTCCCTTCTCCCTTCCAGCCCAGACCCTCGGCCTCACTGGTGAGTCCTTGGGGGAATGCCATGGCCCCACCCTGCTGTCCCCAGCCCTGCACTGGCCCTGACAGGCTGGTGTCCTCTGTCACCCACAGGTGCCCAGATCACCCAGCTCTTGGTGGAGCCCCCCTGGAGGCCGGCAGTGCTGTGGGACCGGGTGACACTGACCTGTCAGGGCTTGGGGGCCACCAGTGCCACCACCTGGTACACGGATAAGGACGGGGAGCGCTGGTGGCAGGAGGGACGCGAAAACTTCACTGTCACCAAGAGTGTCACCTACACGTGTTACAAACCTGACTCTGGACTCAGCCCACCTGTGAGAGTCTCAAAAGGTGAGGGATATTTGACTGTCCCCAGCCTGGCACTCACATGGACCCCAAGGGCTCTGGATGTGCTCTGGTCCATGGATCACCTCCTGGTGTGACCAGAGCCTGTCCCCTGTTCTGGGGAAATCCCAGTGCTTCCCAGAGTAGGGGAACCCCTGTGTTGGAATTGGAGACCCCTGGTGCCTTGGGGGGTCCTGGTGCCATCAGGTGTGACAGGACCCCTCTGTACCCCAGGCTGGCTGGTGCTGCAGGCGCCGGCGCGGGCGCTGCTGGTGGGGGACATGGTGACACTGCGCTGCCAGGGCTGGTGGAACAGCACAGTCACCTCAGTGTCCTTCTACCACAATGGGAAGAAATTGGAGAGGTTCCATAAAGGCACTGAGCTGTCACTGTCCCCCCTGCAGCTGAACCACAGCGGCCACTACCTCTGCAGGGGCCAGGTGGTGTCACAGTGGAGAGAGTCAGAGCGGGTGACAGTGAGAGTGCACAGTGAGTTCAGGGATGGGGACAGGGAAGCCCAACATCCTCCAAGGATTTCCCCACCACTGCTTAGTCCTTTATCCCTCCCTTTACTCCTCCCTGGGTCACCCCAAATTTCCCAAGTCCCTCTTGATTTCCCCCATGACTGTCCAGTTCCCCTTACAGATCCGTCATCCCTCTCTTTGTCCTCTCCAGCCCTCCCTGGATTCCCCACCCCTTCCAACGTCCCTGCTCCCCCCTCTGCTCTCCTTTCTATCCCTGGGTCCTCCTGCCCGTCTCTGAACCTCAGATCATTCCCTGAGTCTCCTCAGTCTCTCGTCTGGTTCCCCATCCCTGCCTGGGTCTCTCCCTCTTTCCACGGGGTCTCGCCATTCTCCCCAGGTCCTACAATGCCTCCCAGGGTCCCCTAATGCTCACTGGGATCCTGTCTGCACCACTCCAATCCCCCTCTTTCCCTACCTGTATCCCCCTGCCCCTCCTGGGTCCCCAATCCCATCTCTGTCCCCCACTCCTGCAGATGTCCCACTCTCGGGAGTGTCCCTGTCAGCGCAGCCGCCCAGGGGACAGGTGGCACTGGGGGACCGCCTGGTGCTGAGCTGCATGGTGGCTGCAGGGACAGGTCCCCTGTCCTTCTCCTGGCACCGGGAGGGCTCGGGGGCACTGCTGGGTACCGGACCCCGCCTGGAGCTGCGCCACATTGGGGACAATGACAGCGGCCAGTACTGGTGTCGGGTCAGCGACAGGGACAGCGTAGCTGAGAGTGACCCCCTGAATGTCACCGTCCTGGGTGAGTGGGACACTCGGGCTGGGGGTGACCCCACCCATGGCACCCCTATCCCACTTCACCAGGTGCCAGCCCTGTCTCTTTCTCCACAGTGCCTGTGGCCAATGCTACCATCACCCCACGTCCCCTGGCACACCAGGTGCATGCACGTGACAACGTGACCCTGCGCTGCTCAGTGCAGGTGGGCTCACGCCCTGTCACCTTCACCTGGCTGCACAATGGGCAGGAGGTGGCCTGGGGTTCCCTCCTGGAGCTCAGGGACATCGATGTGGGACATTCAGGCACCTACCAGTGCATGGCCACCAACCAGCAGGGAGAGGATGGGCACGGCGTGTTCCAGGCCCTCAGCCCAGAGCTGGCCCTGGCGTTGGCACCTGGCTCACCCTGGGTCACAGGTGGGATCACCCAGGGTCACCAGGGAGTGCAGGACCCCTGGGGTGATGGGTGACCCTGATGTGTCCCCCTCTGTTTCTTGCAGTGGCCGCAGTGGTTGGTGGGGCCCTTTTGTTCCTGCTCCTGCTCGTGTGTGTCATTGTGGCCTGGCACCAGAGGCACCATATGGGTGGGTGACCATGGGGGAACAGGGATCCCAGGGAGCTTTAGAGGTTCCCAGAATTGGGGAGCAATAGGGATGCACCCACAGCCCTAGAATTGTGACCTTGTCTAGGGGTCCTGTAGGGTTTGGGGAGGTGCTGGAGTGTCCTGCGGGGATGCTGGGAGTTCTTTCAGGGGTCCTGGTGGGATCTGAGGGATCGCTGTCCCTGCTGGGCTTTGGGTTCCGGACGCTGAATTGGTGGAGGGCACTGGGGAGGTTCATGAATTCTGGAGGGCTTCAGAGATGCTTGGGGGTCCTAAGGGGAATTGAGGGTCCCATGCAGGTTCAGAAATTTTGAGAGGCGTCAGGGCCTTGGGGACCCCAAAGTCACCCCTTCCCTCTTTCCTCTGCAGCTGCCAGGAAGAACCAGGAAAGGTGAGTGAGGGGCTAAAACCACACTCTCCCCTTTTACCCCAACGCCCAAGACCTGCCATTCTCTCCCCCACATCCCCTTTATTCCCTCAGGGCCCCCCAGGATAACCAAACCTCTCCAGAGGAGGGGGAGGTGCTGTACACCCACGTTGTGGTCACCAAGAGGGCAGGGGGTGAGTATGGGGGGGGACAGACACAGAGGGACATGTCACCCACGACTGTCACCCCACCCAGATCCCATAGGCCATGTCTCTCGCAGCGTCCCCCCGTGCCACCACCCTCCAGGATCCCCAGGTGACCTACGCAGAGCTGCGGGGACCCCAGGGGCGACCGCAGGAACCCGGTGAGATCTACGGGAATGTGCTGTGACACTGGGGGGAACTGGGAGGCACTGGGGTTTGCCACCCATGGGCACCCACTCGTGTGTGTGCTGCTGCTAAAAACTGCCCCTCTCCCTCCCCGTGAAGGCACAAAGATCCCAAGGGGCTGAGAGAAGAACAATTTCCTGAAACATCAGCAAGAGAGAATAAAACCAACAGTATTAGCAACAAGGTTCAGAGTTTAAATCGTCACACATGGACCAATTTCTAGGGAAAGCCACAACAAGGAACAAACCATAGATATTTCCCTCAGCATGTTTCTCTCACCAGAGGAACTGGCAGGGCCCTGGACCTTCCTTGCTCTGATGGCCAAAGAGGCTTTCAGGAGGCTCTGGATTCTCTTGTTCCACGTCCCAAACCCCTCCTCTGCTGTGTTCCATACACGAGGATGTCAAAAAGGTCCTGTGGTGGTTCCGAAGCCTCCCCCTTTGCCAGCCCCCCCCCCCCCCCCCCCCTTGACAGGATTAGACCATGGCCCAGGTCGGGTTTCAGAGACAGGGAAAGTTTGATGTCTGGATGTCTGGAGACCTGTTGGAACACCTATGTGTGACAGGAGTGGGCCAGGCCACGCTTTTGGTGAGAAAGGGCACTGTCTGTCCATCAGTCTGTCAGCCATGCCCCACTGGGGACAGTGTGACGCTCTGCCAAAACCAGCTCCTGGGAGGCCGTGTGACCAGAAGTGTCATCTGGGGAGAGGGCCCAACTGGCTTAAAAGGTAGAGTGTAAGGTGGCCAGGTCCCTGACCCTGTCTTCTTTTGAGGTGTCTGTCCCCTCCATGCTGGAACCCAGGAATTGACAACTCATTTAAATGAGGAATATCTTTGAAAGGAAATGGGAGCGTTCCTGGAATGGAAAGAAGACCCATGTCTAAATTGCTTTTTAATTTAAAAGATGATGAGGCTTACAGGCAAAAGTGAAGCAAAAGGAACAACACCTCGTTCCTGGGACATTTATAGACCAGAACAGAATAAACAACACAAACCCAGAACTTTCCGTCCCGCTCAGCCCTGTTAGATTTTGGGGCAGGTATAATTACGGCCAGCAGGGGGCGCTGCAGAGAGCACTCTCGGCCAGCAGGGGGCGCTGCAGGGAGCATCAGGACCAGCAGGGGGCGCTGCAGGGAGCACTCCCTGCCAGCAGGGGGGGCCCCGATTCAGTTCCATCTCCTCAGGGGCCATGGCGGCCTCGGACGGGAGGGAGGAGGGGAAATCGCTCCTTTTGTAAACTCACGGGCACCAGTCAGTCCCAGCTCCACCACTGGCAGCGGGCAGAAGCCGCCAAGGCAGCAGGTTGGATTCCAGTGCCCACTGGCAGCGTAGCAGTGTCCCGGGGCCAGGCACACACCCTGCGCAACACCTGTGTTTGCTCTCCATGATCCCGAACAGAAGGAAGGCAGCGCCTGACACCAGGCAGATCTCAGGTCCACCGCAGCACCTCTGGTGGCCTTACACCACAATTCCTGCAAACCCTCAGCCTTTCAGTCAGGTGAGGCGGGCAGGGATGCAGCAGCTTTGGGGACACCTGGAATCCAGACAGGGTCCCTCCCCTCAGCCCGATCACAGCTGTCGTCAGAGCCACAGCTCGATATTTCCACACTCCACACTTTTCCCTCTTGTCCGGCAGCCACAGCCGGAACCCAAACATTCTTCTCAGGCTGCTCCAAAGGGCTGCAGGGTTGAGACAGGAGGAAGGAGGGACGCCATCAGGTTTTTGAGCAGAGTGTTGTGGGATTTGCCAGGTTTTTGCGGCTCTCTCAGACCCTTGCTACAAGGGACAAAATGATAAATTGCTACATTTCTGGATTGGTTCCCTCTCAGCTGCCCCTGCAGGGGGTTTTTCCAGCCAGCCCTGCTCTGAAAACCATCAGATATCCTTGCAGAGCCAATGTTTGGGCGCCCTTTTGGTTTTGTGCTTCTTTCAGGGCCAAACAAACCACAGGAGGCCTTTTTCCCCCACAGAATTGTCATTTCTGCAGCAGCTCCACACACCCAGAGCCCCTTGGAATCTGTCTGGGGTGAGCCCCAGGCCACCAGCACCTTGTGCGGGCTGTGCTTGGCCCTGGGTCACTCCAAATTCTGAGGAATCCAGGGAAGAAGTTGTGAATCACAGGTCCACCCAGGAACTGCCTATAGCTGGGACCTCCATTTCACCTTGAAATCTAATCATGGGACCCCCATTCCTTATGTCTCCCCCTCTCTGGAACCCCTATCCTAGTACTGACATTCCCTAGTACTGGCATTGTCCAGGACCCTCATTCCCAAGGAACCCTCTCCTGTCCATTCCACCCCCTGAAATCCCCCTTTCCCCAGGACCTTGATTCTCCCATGACCCCCTTTCCTATGGGACCCCTCATTCCCCCAGCATCCCCATCCCATAACCCCAAATCCCTGGAGCCCACATTCCCCTGGGACTCCCATCTGTGAATCCCCAGCCCTGGGCACCCCTATTCCAAATGCACCCCCATCCCTGGTGATTCCCCATCTTCAGGACCTCCATTCCCAGGGACCCCATGCCTGGAACCCCCCATTCCCCTAGACAGCCAGCCCTGGCTCCCAAAACCCTCTGAGATCATCACTCCTGGGAACCCCATGTCCCACTGTGTCCCATCCAGCCTTGTCCCCACCCTGCCCACAGCCTGTGCCCAGCTTGTGGCCACCCTGCCCCCACTAGGTGCCAGCTACGCATGAGGATGAGACCTCACCTCGCTTCCTTCCTCTTTGGCCAAAGAGCCACCACCCAGGGGACAGCCACCCCCGACAGCATGTGACAGCCAGTGCACATGGCTGGGGACACTGGGGTGGCCGGGAAGGTGGCGCTGCTCCTGTGGGGTGAGTGCCCCAGGCACAGACTTGACACCACGGGGATATGGATGGGGCGGAGCACAGGGGAGCTGTGGAATCTCCTGAGGTCCCCAATGCCAACAGTGCAAGTCCATGCTACACACAGTGGATCTTGGTGGGGCTGGGGATGTAGGGTGGCTTTGGGGACAGGAACAGTGGGGCAGCAATTTGGGGATGGGGATGTGGGGACAGGAATGTGGGGACTGGCACCTTTGGGCTCAGGTAGCTCTGGGGATAGGGACAAGGGAACTGGGATGCAGGGACAGAAGGGGACAAGAACAGTGAGGATGTGGCCATGGGGATGGGATCATGGGCATGGGATCATGAGCTGGTGGGAGTGACCTGGGCCAGCATGGCCGCTGTCCCAGCATCCCAGTTCCCTTGTCCCTATCCCCAGAGCTACCTGAGCCCAAAGGTGCCAGTCCCCTGTTCCTGTCCCCACATCCCCATCCCCGAATTCCTGCCTCCCTGTTCCTGTCCCCAAAGCCACCCTGCATCCCCAGTCCCACCCAGGTCCACTGAGGGTAACATGGACTGGCACTACTGGAATTGGGGACCTCAAGGTACACCACAGTCCCCCTGTTCCCCTCCCCTGCCCATCCCCAGGATGTCAGGCCCATGCCTGGGGCACTCACCCCACAGGAGCAGCGCCACCTTCCCAGCCATCCCAGTGTCCCCAGCCATGTGCACTGGCTGTCACTTGCTGCTGTGGCCACCGCTCCCCTGGCTTGCAGCTCTTCAGATGAAGGCGAAGGAAGTGAGGTCACATTTCAACCTTATGCGTAGGTGGCCTTTGGTAGGGGCAGGGTGGGGACAAGGCTGCATAGTCTGTGGACATGATGAGGGATGCTGTAGGCAGGAGTAGGGGGCTCAGGGGATGTGGGGAACCAAGGATGGGTGTCCAGGAGAATAGGGCACCAGGAGAATTGGGGTCTCCATGCCTGGGGGGTTCCACAGCTGGGGGTACTGTGGAAACATGTTTCCCAGGGATTTGGGGTCATGGCATGTGGGTGCCAGGGTTGGGGGTGCGGAGGGAAAAGGAGACCCTGGGGAATAGGGGTTCTGGGGGAGGAAGCAGCCCACGAGATTGGATCAAGGTAATGGTTGTGCTGGGCAATGGCAGTCCTGGGATGGGGGTCTTCAGGGAGGAGAGACCAAGGCAATGGGTGTCCCATGGTTGGGTTGCCAGGGGAATGGAGGTGCCAGGGATGGTCAGTGGCTGGGTGGGCACAGGGGTCAAAGCTCCTTCCGGGGTTGCCTCAGATTTTGGGGTGACTCAGAACCCAGCACAATCCCCACAGTGCTCATGGCCAGGGGGGCAACCAAAGGTTGTCCTGGGAGGTTCTTGATCTCTGCCCCACACACTCCTGGGCTTTTTCCTGTCACTCCCATTTCCTGGCTCAGCGACCTCAGCAAACATGTGATGACCATTTGGCTGAGACAAAAGTACACATCCGTAGAATAAAGGCAAGAATCTTTTCCCACACCATTATTTTCCCAATAAAAAATCAATCAAACTGACAAGGTATAAAATTAGCTGGTTTATAGAATACTTTGAATCATTGCCTTCCCAACAAGTCACTCACAATGAAAACACAAACAAATCACAAAAAATGAGGGGTTTTTTCTCCCTTTAGGAGCCCCTTGCTGCACCCAAGGGCAGCATTTGCTTGTGGATACCACAGAGTGCGTGGAATCTCCCCGAGTATCCAACAGCTCCATGGGATTGTTCCCTGTCTGCTTGGCAGTAACCCAGCCCCTAAGGAAGCCTTTTGTTGGGCCATATTTCGGAATTCTCCCCATTTTTCTCATTCCCACCCTGAAACTGGAATGACTTCCCATGGATTCAGCTCCCAAAATGGGAGAAGCTCTGTCCATCCTTGGGACAGTGCACAGGAATCTGTGCCCGTGTGTGTCTCAGGGTCTGATTCCCTGGTAAATCCACTCCAGCCTGCCCGCAATTCCCCTGCCTGGGCACTCCCTGCTCCTGCTCTGACACTCGTGTTCCCCAGCCCCTTGTATGCAGCCCCTGCTCAATATTTCCAGACTTTTCCCTCTCTTCTGGTGTGCACATCCAGAACCCAAACATTCTTTCCATGAGGTACCAAAGGGCTGCAGGTTTTGTTCAAGAGGGAGGATACAGGTCAGGTTGTTGAGCAGATTGTCGTGGGATTTGCAGTAGTTCTGGGGCTCTCTCAGTTCCTTGCTGAGAGGGACAAAATGATCAATTGCTGCATTTCTGGACTGGTTCCCACACAGCTGCCCTTGCATGGGGAGTTTCCAGCCAGCCCTGCTCTGAAAACCATCAAAGGCCCTCGTAGAGGCGCTGCTTGGGCTCCCTTTGGGCTTTGTGCTTCTTGCAGAGCTGAGCAAACCACAGGCAGGCCTTTTTCCACCCACAGAATTCTCACCTCTGCAGCAGCTCTAAAGCTGCCAGAATCAAAGCCAATGGGGCAGGGGGACCCTCAGGTGCTGGCTGCCACCTGGGGCTGGCCAGAGCAGGGCTGGGCAATGGCCATCCCTGTGCAGTGGGGCTGGGCCATGGCTGGGCCCCATCCTTGCATTGACAGGCATCGGGAAAGGAATGCTCAGGGACATTTCCAGAACTGCCACACCCGGGACAGGACACCCCATGCCAGGATGTGTCACCCCCTGGACTGGTTTCCCCCAGATCATCCCCACAATAGGGACCTCGCAAGGCAGGATCCTCCTGGATGTGCCCTCCCAGGACAGACACTGCCTCCCTTTGCCATCTGACTCTCAGCACAAATGGCCTCTTCCTTTTTGTCCAGGAAAAAGAAAGTGAAAGTGTTGAGGGAGCACAGCCCAACACCTCTATCCCCCACAGCCTCCCCACCCTTCCCTGCACTCCTTGCTCCCCATTATCCCCCTCCCCTGGCTCCCTCCAATGCGTTCCCTGCTCAGGTGCTTCCTGGGATTGCTGAGCCAGGAACTCAGGTTGAGGCTACATGGCATAAAAGTGAGGAAAAAAAGGAAAAAAACAGAAATAAAGAAAGAAAAATTAAAAGGCACGGGAGGGCACAGAAGCAGAGCTACCCAGGACCCCCATGTGATACCTGCACAGGAAACAAGCATCCCAAGCGGGCAGCACCTGGCCATGGGTCACCCCAAAATCTGAGGCACCCAGAGAAGGAGCTGTGACCCCCATGCCCCCCAGCCACTGCCCATCCCTTACACCCCCATTCATTTGGGACCCCAACCATGGGAATCTGATTTCCTTTTGTCCCTCCTTCCCTAAGACGCCTTCCCTGGACTGCAGTTCCTCATGATCTCCTACCCCAAAGAACCCCATCCTGGTAATTCCAGTCCCTGGGAACCCCATTCCCTTGGGGACATTGATTCCACCCGGGCCCCCATTCTCACAGGGTTCCCCCTTCCCCTGGCACCCCCATCACTTGGCCCCCATCCCATGATCACAAATCCCAGGAGGCCACATTGTTTTGGCACCCTCATCCCCAAGTCTGAGTCCATCCATCCACTGGGACCCCCATTCCCATGGGAAATCATCCCTGGGCACCCCATTCTTCTGGACACCTATTTCTGGCTCCCTACACCAACTCAGACTCCAAATTCTGGCCCCACCATGTACCCACCATGTCCCACAAGGTCCCCACCCTGCCCCCCTCCTGTCCCCACCCTGCCCCCACCAAGGGCCATCTACACATGGGGACGAGATGTGACCTCGCTTCCTTCCCCTTCATCTGAAGAGCCGCCAGCCAGGGGAGCGGTGGCCACAGCAGCGAGTGACAGCCAGTGCACATGGCTGGGGACACCGGGATGGCCGGGAAGGTGGTGCTGCTCCTGTGGGGTGAGTGCCCCGGGCATCGGCCTGACACCCCGGGGATGGGCCCTGGTGAGGCAGAGGCTGGTGGGGAGGGGGCATAGTGGAGCTGCAGGGTCCCCTGAGGTCCCGGAAGGCCGCAGAGCCAGAGCATGAGGTGACCAGGGCTGTGGGGTGGCTGTAGGGACAGGAGAGGGCGGACAATAATGGGGGGACAGGCATTTGGGGAACTATCATGGGGCTGGTGGCTAAATGAGCCTTAATTGGTGTTATTCTAGGCAAGCTATTACACCTCCAGAGCTCAGCCCCCAAGGGGACTGAGTGCCAGAGGCCAGCTCGCTCAGACCGAGGCCGCGGGTCAGCCCCTAGCAAGCAGGGGAATATTCAGCTGTTATAGTGATTAGGCAGCTCTTATGATTTCAGCTTTGCTTGCTAAGTAGCTTTATCTTGGCTTGACGCTCCAGCAGACGGTAGAGAGAGAAGGAGAAGACGCCGGCTCTTTCACATGTATGGCTTTATTGGAGGGGTTCGTGAAGGGTCTCAGCACTTCTTCTTCCAAGTTTGTAGGGGTACAGTATGCTACTTTTATACCCTTGGCCCAGTTCCAATCCTGACCAATGGCAAGAGGTTAGAAGGACCATAAGTGACCAATAGTAGGGTTAACAAGATATTGCCTTACATGGCTATAGGGATAGGTTATAGGGCGGATGTCCCTGGAGTCAGGAAGCTTTGCTGCTATGTCAGCATTTCAGATTTTCCATGGGGCTTTGGCTAAAGTTGATTGTTTCACTACAGGGTCCCCCCTGACTCTCAGCTGCCTCAGCACCCCCAGCCCCCTGCAGACCCGAGCTCCCCTCCTGCACCTGTTCTACCGGGACAGGCAGGTGGTGGGGGGCCCGCAGGGGTCCCTGCAGCTGCTGGTGCCCACCATGGGGGTCTCTCACTCGGGGAATTACAGCTGCAAGGTGCACTCTGAGGGGGGGCTGTGTGGAAGAGCAGCACCCAGATCCACGTCACCGTGCGCAGTGAGTGTGGGGATGGGCACAGGGAGCCCCCACAGCCTCCTCGGGTCCCCTGCCTGGGTACTTTGATGTCCCCCAGACACCTTTCTTGGGTACCTCCATCTCTGCCCAGTGTCCCCTCACCCCTCCATGGTGTGACCCCATCCCTGACATCCCCCATCACACCCATCCCCTGTCCCTATCCCCCACACCGGCTGCCAGCCCTGTCTCTGTCCCCACAGTGCCCGTGGCCAATGCCACCATTACCCCTGCTCCCCTGGCACATCAGGTGCGCACAGGTGACAGTGTGACCCTGCGCTGCTCAGTGCAGGTGGGCCCACCCCCTGTCACCTTCACCTAGCTGCACAACAGGCAGGACGTTGCCTGTGGTCCCCTCCTGGCATTTGGGGACATCGATGTGGGACATTCGGGCACCTACCAATGCGTGGCCACCAACGAGCTGGGATAGGACGGACACCGCGTGTTCCGGGCACTCAGCCCTGAGCTGGCACTGGAGGTGACACCTGGCTCACCCTTGCTCACAGGTGGGCTCACATGGGATCACTGGGGTGTTCAGGACCCCCAGAGTTCAGAGTAACCCCGATGTGTCCCCCTATGACCCCAGCAGTGGCTGTGAATGTCGGCAGGACCCTCCTGTTCCTTCTCCTGCTTCTGGCTGTCCTCGGGGGTTGTCACTGGTGGCACCACCAGGGTGGGTGACAATGGGGGGGATGGGGGTCAAGGTGTGAGGGGGGGCCCTCAGAGTGGAGGCAGAAATCAGGGATCTGGTGGGAATCAGGGCTAGAGTGGGGATTTGGGGGTCCCGTGGGTGGTTGGAGCTGCTGAGGTCCCAGGAAGGTTCAGGGGTCCTGGTGTCTCCACTGTCACCCCCTCCCCTTTCCCTTGCAGAAACCAGGAAGCTCCAGGACAGGTGAGTGGGGGGCTTGGGCCAGGACTCCCCTCTCCCCCTCCCCAGACACCACCCAGACCCCCCCATCCCCACATGTCCTCCCCGGAGCAGGGGGCTGTGCTCAACATCCACATCATGGGCACCGAGTGGGCAGAGAGTGAGTACAGGGGGGCACAGGGACACGTCACCCACGGGTGTCACCCCCATCCAGGTCCCCAGAACTGCTGTCACTCTCACAGCCCCCACGGGTGTCCCCCAGCCCTGCTCCACTTTGGGATCCAGAAGTGACCAACACGGAGCTGTCAGGACCCTACAAGGGACATTGCGACCCCCGTGACTACGAGGACATCCTGTGACAGTGGGGGCACTGGGGGGCACTGGGGTCATCAATTCCCTTCAGTGGTCTCTTCTTCATCTTCACAGGACCCCATGGGGCTCCTCCATCCCTCTCTGAGTGCTGGGGAAGCACATATTCCCTCATATTGTTTATCTGCGCAAAACACAAGGCTCACACTTTAAATTTTTTAAATATTTAATAAGGGAAAAATATTCAGTAAACAACAGGCTGAGTGCTGGACAACTGCCAGAGGCACACGGTTAACTACAAGAATTCTTCTTACATACCTTTTCACTGAATTGGTTAAATGCATACTCAGGAGAGTTATAAATTTTCAAGCATTCTTTCCAGTTCACATGTTCCAGGAATTCTTTTGCTTGGTTTGACCCTTGATTCATTTTCATGAAGTACATGCCAGAATGCAGAGTAAATTTATATATTTTATGTCCTCACAAGGTCCCCCTGTTCTGTGGTTTGACAGTTCTTGATAACTGAAGGGTCAGTGGTAAATTCCTCTTTGCATTCTTTCTTTTGATATTTATTTACTTGCTACATTTCAATGTGTTCTTCTCATACAGATGAGATACTCCACCAGTACATTAAATCAACATTAGCTATTTCACAAAATTATCTGAGTTATTCTATCCTTGTCACTTAGTTACACAAATAAAGGCTTCTGCAACAGTTACTGTTGTAATAAACAGCACATTGTCTCTATATTGATATTTTGGGAGAGCCTAAACTAAAATATGTTTATCACACTAAAATATATGTTCTATGCAGGGATTAGGGTAAAAGCCTGACAAATAGTAGTGTATCAAAAGCAGTTAAAAATTGATTACAAACTGTATTGTATCAAAATAACTTGCAATAACCAATATAATAGTGAAAGCCAATGACAGAAGTTATTCATAACAGTGAGAAAGTGTATTGAAGGGTTTCTTTGACTTCTGCTTATCCTGCTATGATTTTGAAAGCAATAAATTCAATTCATATCTGTAATTCTAAAGGCAGTTTTACCCGTGACAGGATTTGATGAGTGATCTCTCCTGGTCCTTGTCTCAACCCAGGAACCCTTTGCTCAATTTTCTCTCCCCATCCAGGTGCGGAGAGCAGTGAGAGAGCGGCTCTGGTGGGTGTGGGGCATCTGGCCACTGTCCATCCACAGCAAGGCAGGGAGGAGGAGGAGGGTCCAGGTCAAGTTGTTGAGCAGATTGTTGTGGGATTTGCAGTAGTGCTGGGGCTCTCTCAGTCCCTTGCTGAGAGGGACAAAATGATCAATTGCTGCATTTCTGGACTGGTCCCTCACAGCTGCCCCAGCAGGGGGGGTTTCCAGCCAGCCCTGCTCTGAAAACCATCAAAGGCCCTCACAGAGCCACTGCTTGGGCTCCGTTTGTGATTTTGTGCTTCTTGCAGGGCGGAACAAACCACCCAAACAAACAAAAAGCAAGGCCTTTTTCTCCCACACAATTCTCACCTCTGCAGCAGCTCTAAAGCTGCCAGAATCAAAGCCAAGGGGGCAGGGGGACCCTCAGGTGCTGGCTGCCACGGGCTGGCCAGAGCAGGGCTGGGCAATGGCCATCCCTGTGCAGTGGGGCTGGGCCATGGCTGGGCCCCACCCTTGGATGGCCACTGGCTTCAAGGAGCAGGAGTTTGGGAGCTCCTTCCTGCCCGAGCTTCATTCCCCAGCGGCTCTTGCTGGCTCAGATCCTGTAGGGGACGAGCAAGAATGGAGAAGTCTGGACCCCTCTGAAGCTGCCAAGCTCCAGGACAGGGCCCTCTTCCCCAGCATGTGTCCCCCCTGGGACAGGATCCTCCCAGGACAGGAGCCCCCTGGATGTGCCCCCTAAGGACAGAACCCCCCCCCCATGTGAGAAAGGTGTCAAATGGCCTTTTCCTTCTTCTGCAGGAGACAGAAAGTGAAAGTGTTGGGGGGTAAAAGCAGCATTCCCCCATCCCCCACAGCCTCCCCAGCCCTCCCTGCAGACCCCTCACCCCTGCTTCCCCCACTCTGAGGTTCCCCCAAGCTGTTCCCTGCTCTGGTGCCCCCAGGACCATCAAGGCACGAACTGGGGATTTGTGAAATTGAAGGGTAAAATGATGGAAATGGAATAAAGAGAGGGAAAAGTCACTGGAGGCTGGGGGGCACAGACCCAGAGCAGCTCAGAATCTCTCTGGGGTGACCTCCAGGCCGCTGGCACCTTGTGGGGGCTGTGCTGGCTTTGGGTCACTCCAAAATCTGAGGCATCCAGGGAAGGAGCTTTGACCCACAGGCTCACCATGTCACTGCCCATCCCTGGCACCCCCATTCCCCTGGGAACCTGACCATGGGACCCCCACTCCTTATTTCCCACCCTGTCTGCAATCCCCATACCAGTACTGACATTCCCCAGGATCTCCATGGCTCATGATCCCATTCGCAAGGAACACCTCCCGTTCATTCCATCCCCTGAAAACCACCATTCCCCCATCCCATTGTTGACGGAAGGAGACCCGGACACCAATTGGTTCATCGCAGATCTGCTTTATTGATCGATACAACGGGTTAAATACAGTTCATAATAAGCTTCATACATATTGCAAAAGCTGAGCTCAGGATTGGTTAGTTACATATCAGCAACTACGCCTACTTCTGCATTTTTGTGGTTATTCTTTTGATACTTTCTGCATATTTTCAGCAAGAATCTCACTTCCCTATCCTCATGTTGCGGCAAGGGCATCATGTCCTTGCCTGTCATTGGTCACTGACTGCTGACTTCCCTTTTGAGCTTAACCAGCAGCATTATGTCAACATGGCCTTTCTCAGCTAACCAACTGTTAACAAAACTCTCCGCATTTCCCCCGTTTTCTTCTTGAGCAAGAAGACTAGTCTGCCAGGTTTTTGCTATCATACGGCTGACCATGTTTTGAATACAATTAAAGACACAAGGCAAAATAAGCAAAAACATTAAAATTACACCCAGTAGCCCTATAGCATAGATCACAAGGTTCCTCAGCCATGGTCCAAGTCCTAAGTTTTTAAGCCATTCGTCAATTCCTAAACCTTCTTCTTCCTTGAGATTGTGAAGTCCTTGTTGCAGTTCTTTTATCTTAGTGTGAATGGACACCGAATGATCAGACAAATTCATGCAACACATTCCTTCAAACTCTTCACATCCATGCCCTTGTGCTAAGAGCAAAAAATCTACAGCAGCTCTATTTTGCAAAACAGCATGGTTAACACTCTGCACATCTGCGGTTAGCATGTCTAGAATTTGGGATGTCTTGTTTAGCTCATCCTTTGCCCAGCACCCTAATTGCTTTGCTAAATTCATAGCCATCACTCTGACTTGCAGTATACCCTTGTTGTGCTGGCAATTTGATGTTTGACATGTTATGCATGCATAAAGTTCGATTATTTATTAATCTGCAAAATTCTCCAGGAGACCACACCGGAAGTCCCACCAGACATGTTCAAAATGGGTTAGTAACCCCTCCAAGACTGAGACAAAGCGATGATTGGTTAATTTGATTAGCAAGTGTTACCCATAGATTTTCTCTTGGCTGACTAAAATGTGTTATTCCTACTACTGCACTTGCTACAGCATTGAGCAGTATAATAAAAACAAACCTCATTTTTCTCTCTTCTTTTTCTGTTTTTCCTTTCTTTGCTGTCTTTTACCTGGTTTTCTAGAACGGTTAATGTGAACCTGAGTCAGTCTTTGAATACACTGATCTAACTCCAAATCAGCATCCTTGCTTACAGGTATAGCGTCAGGTAGATTTAAAGGCAAATTAGCTTTACAGCGAGCTGCTATGATGCGTGAGGCTCTAGTAATTTCAAATTCTCTAAGTACTTCCTGCAACTTCCATCTAATATATGCTATAGCTACTTGTTCTGCACTCTCAAAAAGCTGTAATCCTGACCTTCTTGGTAAGCCAGTACTTTGCTCAAGAGCTCTATACCAGGAAGAATCTCAAATCCACTTCCCAAAACAAGGTCTACACCATAAATATGCTATTGTCCTTTGTGAGTACCAATAAACCTTATCACAATCTGCACAATGCAAAGCTATCCATGCATAGCACTTATCATTATCCCTTTTACAAACATAACAAGGAAGTGAATATAAGTAAGGATCAGTATTAAAGTTCGTCTCTGTGACCCAATACAACCAGTTCAATGGTGGTCATTGCAAAGCCTCTTTACCTTTCTTACTATATGAGGCTAACAGTTCAAGCTCTTTCTTTAGCACAAGGCGTATCTTATTTCGTAATCGTTGTTCGATGTCTTCTTCAACAACTACATCCTCCCGAGGGTCCCATAAATGTAAAATTGCCCTAATCATAGAAAACTAATTAGCAATCACTAATAGCCTTACTCAGATGAGATCGTTCCCTTTCTTGCCTTCTTTTTCTTATCTATCTTCCTGTCACATGCTTAACAGACCACTGATTCAAGAATTTCTGGACGCCAGCACTTACATAAGCTGGACCATTATCTGTTTTGATACTCTTTGGGACTCCCATGACAGCAAAGCAACTTAACAGGTGCCTCATAACATGTATAGCTTTTTCTCCTGCCTGAGCCGTCGCCCATATGTAATGACTATATGTATCTATAGTGACATGCACATACTTGACTCTACCAAATCTAGGTACATGCGTAACATCCATTTGCCATTTTTCATTTATTTCTAAACCTCGAGGATTAACTCCAATGCCTAAACCTATTCCCCCATTATGACAACTACATGTTGGACATGCTCTAACAATGGCCTTAGCTTCTGACAAACTCAGCTCAAAGTGCCTTGCTAATCCTTTTGCATTTTGATGATATCTACTATGTGCTTCTCTGGCCAATGTATGCTTATCAACAGGACAAGAGTTATCAACGGGTAGGGTAACCAATTTGTCTGCATGTTCATTCCCTTCTCCTAAACCTTCAAACCATTTATGGCTCCCAATATGAATCACAGAATACGCTGCATTTCTCTCCCGTAAGGCTTTTCTTAATTGTACCAATAACTCATACAATCG